CGAGTTTATGCGCTTCTGTTCTTGCTTGGAAATTGAAAAGCTAAGTGTTCTCGATTGGTGAAAATGACAGGGATCAGCTGAAAAAATGCTACTTAGAAGAGGTGATTTCTTAGCTGAAAGTTATTCGAACAAGTGATTTTTATCTAAAAATCCTGATAGCACCAAAAAGTAATCATGTTTGATAATACACAAGAGCTAGAGTTGATATATGTATCTCTGTTATGAGGGCCTGGATGGGGTTTACAGAATAGAGAATAATGGAAAAAAATGCAGAATAATGGGTTGTTAAAATATAAAAAAATAGAGACAAATAGGACAAAAAAAGGAATAGGGAAAATGGGATGTTAATATATACTAGTCCACAAAATAAACGATACAGGGGCAATTTATTGTCCATATATAATGAAATTGGATACACTGTACCAAGATAAATAATTGCCCCATTGGTCTCGTTTTTGTCGAGCCTGCGACTTTTGTCGCAGAAAGCTCGACATAGGGATGGTGATCCGGCAGCGGCGGCGGCGGCGTTAGCTAACTCCTGAAAAAAGCTTTATACTTTAGAAGGTTTTCACTTGACCTCTACCTCATTTTATGGATCAGTGAACAAGGTAAAGTTTTCGTGGTTAAGTCCATATCTCAGATACTATAAGCAATAGGTCTAGTATATTTGGTGTATGGAATGATTGTAAGATGTAAATGATCAACTGGCAGGTGTCATCTGACCTTGACCCAATTTCATGGTTCAGTGGTTATAGTTAAGTTTTTGTGTTTTGGTCTGTTTTTATGCCCCGCCGTGGCGGGGGGGGGGGGGCATACAGTTTTACCTTTGTCCGTCTGTCTGTCCGTACGTGTACGTCCGTACGTCCCGTAATTGTTTTCCGTTCTCTAACTTGAGTTTGCCTCAACTAAATGTTATCAAACTTATACACAATGCTTTTAACCACAAAACACAGATCAAGTTTGAATTTTGGTAGTGTCAGTCTAACTGTTCTAGAGTTATGCCCCTTTATAAAAGGAAAAATTGCAAAATGTTTAGTTTCCGTTCTCTAACTTAAGTTTGCCTCAACCAAATGTTATTAAACTCATACACAATGCTTATTACCACAAAACACAGATTAAGTTTGAATTTTGGCGGCGTCACTTTAACCGTTGAAGAGTTATGCCCCTTTATAAATGGAAAAATTGCAAAATTTTTAGTTTCTGTACTCTTACTTAATTTTTCTTCAACCAAGTGTTATCAAACTTATACACAAAACTTAACACCACAAAATACAGATCAAGCTTGATTTTTGGTGGGGTCACTTTAACTATTCTCGAGTAATGCCCCTTTATAAATAAAAAAATAAAATGCAAAATATTTATTTCCGTTCTCTAACTTAAGTTGCCTCAACCAAATGTTACAAAACTTATACACAATGCGTATTACCACAAAACACAGACCAAGTTGAATTTGGGTAGTGTCACTTTAACCATTATCGAGTTATGCCCTTTTATAAATCGAAAAATTGCAAAATATTTAGTTTCCGTTCTATAACTTAGATTTGCCCCAACCAAACATTATGAAACCTATACACAATACTTAACACCACAAAACTCAGATCAAGTACAAATTTGGGTAGCGTCAATTTTATTGTTCCTGAGTTATGTCCCAATATAATGTTGTATGCAAGCGGGGCATCATCTGTGTCCATGGGGACACATTCTCCATTTATTTTTAATACTGTATGCAATAGGTCTACTATATTTAGTGTATTTTTATTGAACGATTGTAAGATATACATGTCCTTCTGGCAGGTGTCATCTGACCTTGACCCCATTTTCATGGTTTAGTGGTTATAAAGTTAAAGTTTTTGTGTTTTGATCTTTTGTGTTGATACTGTATTCAATAGGTCAACTATATTTGGTGTATGAAAATATTGTATGATGTACATGTCAATCTGGTATGTTTTATTTGATCTTGACCTCATTTTTTATGGTTCAATGTTAATTTTTTGTTTTTTGGTCTGTTTTTTTTAATACTATTAGCAATAGGTCAACTATATTTGGTGTATATGTGAACTTGACATTATTACCAAATCGTCTGCAAAACTTAAGCTGGACAATTCAGATTTTTGAAGGACTAAAGGTTTACAAGTATTGTCAAAAATCTGATGTATATCATTAATAAAGCAATTAAGAATAAATTGGCTAAAACTATCCCCTTGCTTAAGACCTCTTTCCAATGTGAAGGATTTTGAAATTTTATCATGTTTATTATCAATTTTAATAGAAGACTCTGTTAAGTTATACATATCACTAATTACCTCATAACATTTTTCCCTAACCCATTTTTTATGAGTTTGTATCGTAACCAATTATGCCACAAAGTGTCAAATGCTCTGCGTAAATCTACAAAGCAGGCAGATATCTTTTCCTTCTTTTTATTAACTTATTTTTATCGTGCTTTTTGTTATCTATTAAACATTTCAAGGTAAATGGTTTTCCCATTCTGGTTCGATTGTTTGATTGCATGTTATTTTATGAACGATTTGTTTATCTACTTACCTTGATTAAAAAAGACTGATAAACCAGCTACATTTGTATGCACCTACCATAAGTCAGGAGCCTGTTGTTCAGTGGTTGTTTTGAATGGTTCATAGATGTTTCTCGTTTATACCGTTGGTTTTCCTGTTTGAATATTTGCTGTTTCGTGTGAGCCAAGGCTCCGTGTTGAAGGCAGTACTTTGACCTATACTTGTTAACTTTTTATACATTTCGACTTGGATGGAGAGTTGACTCATTGGAACTTGTACCACATCTTCTTATTCATATTGAAAGATTTGATTTAAAAAAAAACAACTATAGTTTTAAATTAATCCCGCTGTTATCCATGTGCTTATCCAAACAAGGAACATCACTAATGGTTGTCATATGTCATTTCTGATTGCATTTCGTTATTTGGGGAATTGGGTGTTTACTGCTGATCTTAGCTTGTTCTTGTTGAACTTTTGTTTACAAGTGTTCCAGAATCACTACAATATAGACAACTTTCGAGTTCGTTGCATTTTCGTCAAAAACTTTGGTTTTAGTGAACATCATTCGTGCGTTTAGGGGCGTCGTCACTTCCGTTCCTATGATGAGCGATCGGTTGAAAAAAGATAATGCTATACTGCACGAATTATTCGGCAAATTAAATTCTTATAATTGATATTCAGTACTGCTATCATTAAGGAATTGTAATAAAGTACTTACGAAACAAAAATTATTTCTAGTTTATCCTGCATAATGACGATCACAAAGATGCTTGATGATATTTAATAGAGCAGGGATACAGGCGATCCCCTCTATCTGGTAAATGACGTCACACAGGCGCACAAAATTGACGAACTTTTCCGGTGAAGGACATAACACGAAAGTGGTCTATTAAAGCTTGTCACATTGTATAGATATCTGTTGATGAAACGATGTGTCCCTCGTCTTACCAAGCCAGGAATATGACAGTTGTTGTCCATTCGTTTGATGTGTTTGAGCTTTTGATTTTGCCATTTGATTAGGGAATTTCCCTTTTTGAATTTTCCTCGGAGTTCGGTATTTTTGTGATTTTACCTTTTGGTTGGTGTCTTATTAAAATATATTTGACATCTCCTTATATTCATATGTATTCCTGAAGTTATCAGTACCGTGAAAGTAAACAGTAATGAGAAAATGATTTTTTTCAAATGTATGATCTATCTTAATGTAAGTATTTGACTGTGGATGGGACACGACAGAGTATAATCTCTATGAGAAACATCAATCCATGTTAGCCCTACTGATGATCCTTTTAACATTTTTTTGTTAACAATTATTGTATCAGTACTTAAAATTTCTCAAACTTTTGATGACATTTTATGAAATTAACGGACTTTGTTGAACATGAAATTAAGACATCAAATTATGAATTCAGTTTGAAGTTGAAATCAATAAATATATGTGTTAGCACTTATCTTAATATTGCATAATTTTAAAACGATATTACTTTTGTTTAAATAAGCTTCTATATACACATGTAAAAAAATTATGTATGTCTGTTTATTTTACAGTTCTTATTTAATGTAATTGATACAAACACATTTCATGTAACAATGACACTACGGGGGCAACCATTTAACTTCAAAAGAGAGGGGGCCTTGTTTTTTCTCTCAGTAAGAAAATATTTTTCGCGCAACGCGCGAACGAATATATATTTAGTTTTTCGTCCCGATCAATCATATCATTTTTTTTTCAAAATTAAACACTTTAAGGTAAAAGGGGAATTAACATACAGAATAATGTTTTTTGTTATCTGTGACGTATCTAGAAAATCGTTTGTTTGGCGTAATTAAAATAGTTGATTATAAACAATGTTTGTTTCGTTTGTGTGTTTGATATTTAGTAAATCCATTCCATCATAGATAAATAGCAGTGTTTTACAATCCAACAAACTTAGTCCAATTTCAGATGACAAAGGTTCCATAACGGATAGTTGTTGTATATCAATACAGGAGACTGGATACATAAACGTTCACATACTTTATTTTTCTATCCAACATATATACAGTCAGTTCATAAAATATATTTACAAAACAGCAATGATGGCAACATACATTAACCCACCGCTATTCGCAGATCGAGAGCGGGGCGAACCGATGCGTCACATGGTTCTCTCTCTTTCTCCCCCTTTTTTCAAAATTAACCTTTATTAAACATATGACCATAGAAACGTTTTGGCCAATGAAAATGGAAAAAAGTACTTGTAAACAAATAGTTTCCAAACAATGAAATATATCAAAAACAGATTAGATTAGGTGTTAATTGACATTATTCAATCTATATACAATTGGTGTGTTGACAATAAATTAAATTGATGACCATTGTTGTCAAAAGGTATTCTCAGGACACAATCTTAATCTTAATCCATAAATATTTTCTAGCAACGCTAACACGATTAATAAATGTCTCTTATAAAAATTATTTGCAAAATAGTTCAAAATCTTGTTTCCCGAACAAAATGCACTGTTTGCTGAATAAAAATATTGAAACTTATCTACTTATCCGAAATAATTACTTTTTATACCAAACACGACATAAAAAGAAGAAAATGCTAAAATTCACAATTTCACGCATTTTTACAACATGACATCTGTTTGACCAGAATATTTTTTTCATCAAATTAGGGATCAGAATTGTTTTTTTAGAAAAAAAAAACCAAAGCCCCCCTCCCCCTGGAAGTTAAATAGTTGTTCCCTAAACACCATACACTTCAACTTCAGAAAGATGAAAGAACTGTGGCGCGGTATTAACACTTGTTAATTTTACTATTTGTCCTTCTGGTAGTGTGTTGCATGGTATAACTATAACCTGTCCAGTAACGGCTGGACCAATGAACTGACCGCATAGCTCCATGTAAGATGTATCTAAGCTGGTGCCTACATGAATGAGCATTTTTGTAAGTCGATGACCTAAAACCAAGATTGAAAATTGATACTGATTCAAAAACTAATGTTAACTTCTGTTCAAGTAATATATATATATATATATATATATATATATATATATATATATATAGATAACATAACTCTATCAAAATACTTAAAATGTAACTGGCATTTCAATCTCACACACTTTGTATCATTATAAATTATTATTTGAAGAGGACTGCTAGCTGTTACTGACATGCCAGCGGAGACTTCAATTTAACTGATTAAAAGATTATGTCTTCATCATATGAAAATGAAGCACAATCCCTTTAGTCAGGGGTTTAGTATCATACCTTCATAAAATAAATGACCCGTACATAACTAATTGAATGGGAAATAGCTGAACGTATAAGATGTCTGCATGTTGATTTATATTTACGAATAATGTCCTTATACCGATGATAAAATTTAGTAAATGTTTTGACTAGTTTGTGATATCGATAACCCTGGTGTAATATTTTTTTCAGTAATAGAGATTTCTTTCGTTAAAACCACAAATACGTTGTTACATACACGAGCGAGTCGAACAAGTTGAGATATATAAACAATAAAAGATGGTGACAAGAGAACGTCACCATCTGAAAATGGGTAACTAACAATAGGAGCTGAAAAATCATCTCTTTTATCATTATTTTAGCATTAGGCTTCTCGTTAAAGACATATAGACATTAAGATCAATGAAAGGGCAGTGTTCATTGTTAGAATTAGCTTTATTTAAAGTAAGATAAGCAGGATATGTTTGGCATGACACTTATCTGGGTCTTCCAAGTGCTCCACGAAACTTCTTTCTAAATTATTAACATCTATTTTATCAGCAATCAAAGCCGGGCTCCAAAGTTATTATGAAACTGCCTATTCTAGAGGTGGCGTAAATCAGATGTGGATACTAAAAAATTCGAAAGATCTTTCAGAGTACATACAATCTAAGACTCTCTCATCTTGCAATAGTATTAAAACATTTGACTTTTCTACACTTTACACAAATATTCCCAATTCCAAACTAAAAGACAAATTGAAAGAGTTGGTATTACTTTGTTTCATTAAAATGAATGGCGAACGTAAATACAAGTATCTTGTCTTGGGGAGGGATAAACCCTCCTTTGTAAAGATTGATTGACAACATATTTGTTACGTTTGGAGGACGTGTTTTTCAAAAGACTGTCGGAATTCCAATGGGAACCAATTGTGCCCTTCTTCTTGCTGACTTTTTTCTTTATTATTATGAGGCTGACTTCACACAGGAACTTCTTAGGAAGAAAGATAAGAAGTTAGCAATATCCTTTAACTTTACGTTCCGCTATATAGATGATGTTCTCTCACTAAATAATACAAAATTTGGTGACTATGTTGAACGAATCTATCCCATTGAACTAGAGATAAAGGATACTACAGATACAGTTAAGTCTGCCTCATATCTTGATTTACATCTAGAAATTGACAATGAGGGTCGGTTAAAAACAAAACTTTACGACAAAAGAGATGATTTCAGCTTCCCAATTGTGAACGTTCCATTTCTATGTAGCAACATTCCAGCAGCGCCTGCATACGGTATATATACCTCCCAATTGATACGATTTTCCCGGGCTTGTATTTCCTATCATGATTTCCTTGATAAAGGATTGCTGCTCACAAGGAAGCTATTAAACGAAGAGTTCCAAATGGTGAAGTTGAAATCATCCCTCGTAAATTTTACGGACGCCATCACGAGATGGTTGACCGTTATGGAATAACCGTTTCACAGATGATATCGGATATGTTCCGTATGTCGTAACTACAATATCCTTCCCTTTTCACGAATGTGACCTACCGAATCAGACTATTTACCGGATTTGTAATAACATAATCAACACGAAGGGTCCCACATGTGGAGCAGGATCTGCTTACCCTTCCGGAGCACCTGAGATCACCCCCAGTTTTTGGTTGTGTTCGTGTTGCTTAGTCTTTAGTTTTCTATGTTGTGTCATCTGTACTATTATTTGTCTGTTTGTCTTTTTATTTTTGGCCATGGCGTTGTCAGTTTGTTTTCGATTTATGAGTTTGACTGTCCCTCTGGTATCTTTCGTCCCTCTTTTATCGATAGAAGGGTAACCACGATTTTTTATTATTTAAAATGTTAGCGAAAAGGTTGTGATTGAAATTAATTTCACATTTCAGATATCAGCTCATAAGTCAGTTTATCGATCCTGACATGATTTTTAGCGCACAATTCTTCTTCTTTTAAATACACCGTTGACAAATTTAGAAACTATAAAAAATTTCCTCGGGGAAAATTGATCTAAAAATGATTCGGCTATTAGTTTGAGGTTATTTTTGGTTATATCCCGTTGTATTCGAGTATTTGGATGTCCTCGGTTTTCATTCAGTTTGAGTGTTTCTGATGAAGAGAAAAACAGGAAAGCGGTTTCGACGCACACCTCTGATACAGTATTTATGTTTACCATTTGCTAATTATTGTACTTATATTTATATTCCTACACCTGTCTTATGTAATGATATTTTTACCAACCTAATGTATCCATACGATTCGTACTGACCACCTTCTGTACCGTGTACACTTGTCCGAGATTGACCCACCAGAAAGGTTCGAGTTCACTATCTGTATGAAACATGTTATAAGGGTTTTTAATTCCGTCAATCCCTGCTCCAGCTTTGCATACGTAACCGGAATAACAGTTAAATGGAGTGCTTTGACCAGTTTCCAAGAATTGAGACACAAGAGATCTTTCTCCTATATAAATATGAAATACATTTATTACATTGGTTGCAATGAATTACGTAGATTTTCCAGTGAAATAAAAACCGATAATTTCACATGTAAATAAACGTGATTATTTCAATCCTCTGGCGCCATACAACAGTAGGCGTTGTCAAGACGTCGATAACGTCGGATCAAAACAAATTTTGAGTGCGTAGAAAAAGATATAATTCCTAATATTTTCTTATTTAATAACATAAAAAAGTCATTTGCCAATGTAATAAAAAGAATAACTAATCAAAGAATTCAAATATCGAAAAATATTCAACTCGTGACCAAACAACACTGATGATTAACTCATGCGCTACGCGTATTCGTGAATTCATGTGTTGTTCGGTCCCTCGTTAATATTTTTCTCTATTTGAATTCTTCAATTAGTATTCTATGAATAATTACACATCATTTACAAATACTTATAAAACAATTATCTGATTGAATTACGTCAGGTAATATTTTCAAAAGTGTATACCAAAACGTCGTGATTGGTTAAAAACGTCATAAACAATGGAAATTCAACCAATGACGTGACGTTATTTTCAATTTGGGGAACGAACAATGAAATTACCCATAGTCCTTTGGATTCTGAAACGGCCAATTTCGACAGAGCTACAATGTACGATTGACTACTAGCCATCTGAGTACTTGTTTATGATCTTGCAAAATTGAGGTATAGATGTAATATCGATTTCACCTGATATCGATCTAAATTGAACATATGTCATTCAGATTGAATTACCAATGAAAAAGTGCGAAATTGTAAACGAAAAGTCTGTCTAATTGGATAATTATTTCATTTGTAATTATAAATGTATGCAATGAAGGTTAAATGGTATCGCCTATGATAATGCTTTGATGCTGAAAACAGGCTATACAGTAGCGAAAACGTTAATTAACACATACTGTTTTCAATAATTGTTTAGAAATAACTATAAAGTCAAATTAGACATATAAACATGTTTTTATCAAACAAAGGGAAGAGATTACCATGGATCAATAAAATTCCTACGTGGATGAAGAATATAAAAACAAAACAAAAAATCAATAAAAAGACAGACCACAAAAGTCAACAACCACTGCAATACGAAATCCAATTCTTAATTGGGGATGAAATCATGTGTTCAAAAAGGATATGTTGTTCCTACCCCAATAGTGGCATCCGTCGTATGGCTAAGAACAAGTAAAACTCCCTTGGTGATAACATTAATTCGGTGATGTCTTCAATGAAGAAATAAAATTGAAATGGAAATAGGGAATGTGTCAAAGAGACAACATCCAGACCAAAGAGCAGAAAACAAATTATATCATCGTATGTCGAGCAATTATGTGCAGACTCAAAAACAACAGGGAAAGTTTTTAACCGATCCGAGCCTAAATTAGATGCAAATGAATGTTATAGAGAAGACTGCGTTTATAAAAGATTCACATATAAGAGGGGACCTTGTAGCATTAGTCTTGAAGAGTGGGTGACGTTTTTTTAGGAAATTTGACCTCGGCGGCCAAGTGGTCTAAGCAGTTCTACTACTGTAATCACTAGCCAGTCAACACTGAGGTTGTGAGTGCGGGTGCACTGGACTCCAATCTCAATCGTCTATTTTGTAAAATAGGTATGAAATTAATAGCATACGCAGCAATACATCACTCGGTGAAATATTCAACTCGGTAAAGATGATTCAAGAGACAAACATCTTATACCACACTTTAGAATTTGCAATCAATCAGAGGTTGTTATTTGTATTAAGTGAGTTTTAAATCTTTCGTATTTTAATACATTTGTTGTTGATAGCATATCTACTCTTTTAATTTAGTGTACAAAACGATCAAAACAATGACATACAACGAACGAATAAGTCAATTGGTTGTTACCATATATTAACCAGTAGATAATGTTCTTGATTTTGTGGTTGCTTTCCAATTGACGTATATCAACAATATCTTTTACTTTATAGTAAAGAACATATATTTTGCCTTCTTTCGGAAGAAGTATACTCAAATTATGTTATAGATAATGCATATTTTTAAGGTTTTTCTTGAAGTATAACACACCCCGAGGTGTGTTATAAGACAAGAAAAACCTTAAAATATGCATTATCTGACTTATATACCGTCTATAAATATTATTTTCTGCAAAGATTTGCATTATTTACAGCCTATTTTACCGACAACAGGAAAGTGGGATATTCTTTTCTGATGTGGTCAAGTTTTAATATGCCCTACGGCTCATTTATAATGTGTAACAAAACTCACTAATTAAACTAGATTTATAAAGGTTAGAAATCATTGTTCAGTTTGAATAGAAATATTACTGTATGAACGGCATGAAGCAAGACACAAATGAATTGTTACGGGGTATGAAAAATACAAAAGTCACTCTGTCAGTAACTTATGATTAGGGTATCAACTTTTTTTATAAAAAAGGGATGCTTTTTTTTTGGTCTATTTTCTTGACATTTTTCTCGCGGAAAAGCAGATTTTTTTTCAACAATTTTGTAAACGAACAAACAATTCAGAGTAATTGTTTTCTCTCTTTTGTTTGGCAATACAATTCTTTTTTATACAAAACTCAGAATTAGGAATACATATTATATCCCCTCCCCATTTTAAAGTACACGGCTGTTATTCTATAGAAAATAAGAATGTTGGATCATTTGATTAGATAGAGTAAAAGGCATATAAAGATGTAAAAAACAACTGGCATGAAGAGAGCACGAAAACGTGATACATGTACATGTAACACGAAAAACGAATATCCATAAGTCAAAGTATGATTTCCAATACAATGTGAATAAATAAGATTTTCAAAATCATACACACAATGTGTGGAATATAGCTTGATTTAAATTGTTATGGAAATGTTTGCATTATCAAATTCATCTCACATAATGCCCCTTTATTGTATAGATAAATTAACAAAACTTCACATTATTTGTTTTGGAAGTTAAAATGTGCGTCAACGACGATTGTTGGTATGTCAGTCTAATAAACGGAATAAAGGATTGTTTCGGCCTTAAACCTACGAAATATGGAAAATTAAAAAGTAAATCCTCAATTGGCAACACCACACGATAGCTATCACACGATTTTAATGTTCAAGTAAATTAAAGTTTGCTTTTTAACCAGGAATATAATGACCTTATATATTATGTTATGCCTTGAAGCAAATTTCATTGAAACTTGGTATCGTCAGGGTTGATTCTTCAAAAGAATGACCTATCGTTCTGAAAGAAAATAGCTCCTTGTAGGTATATAACACCAGATATAACAGGTTTGTGATTAGCTGATAAAGTCCTGACCTTTAACAAACACTGCTCCAAGGACAGTAGAGGGTTGAATTACTTTTAATGGCGTGCAACTGTATTCATATTACAGTAACTATCTAGTTTAGTTTATTATGGTGGACCATCGGTATATATTTCCTTAGATAGAGTTTTTTTTATATTTTGCCAAAATGAAGATATTTCAATGTTTTTTTTTTAAAAATATAATATAAAGAATGGGTCAACGTACTATTTTTCAAGCTACAAGTCGTGCAAAGTTGACCGAATTTGTATAGATTGTTCATGCAAATAAAAATAAAATATGAAAAGATAGGTTTTATTATATTATTTCAGAAAATAAAATAACTAAATGGTGTCACCGAAATTAAAAGATTATCTAGAAGATTTTGTTTAAGGCAATTATGGTAAATGTTTATCACAGTATCTTATATATTTGTCTGAGTGCATACTAGTATGTAGTTTTTTATGAAACTTACGTGTTCTCCTTTCAGCAAAGACATCTGACAGTGGAACGCATGTGTAATTCAGACTTTGTGGCATACATATTTCACTGACCTTACAGTCATGGCCTTTGCACGAACCAGCTAGCTCCTGAAAATGGTAAGAAAAAAAATACATATTAAATGCTTAAATTTTTATAATTCTACCCAAATTTATATTGTTTCAGCATTGGTGAACTGTTTTGACTCTGTAGTGTTATCATGATTATAGCTTTCACAGAAACAGTTTTTATGAAGACATCGTTCATCTATGTTTGAGAATCACAGTAAATTTAAATTGGTCGAACAATAAAATGTATTGCTTGTCTTTAGACACATATATAACAAAATGACATACATGTATATCCATAATGTCAACATTCTTGTAATGTTATTGAATCACATCTGATATTCCCATTTCCCATTAAAACGTGTAATTCGATCGTTAAAAGTAAAATCACAAAAATACTGAACTCCGAGGAAAATTCAAAACGAAAAGTCCCTAATCACATAGCAAAATCAAAAGCACAAACACATCAAACGAATGGACAACGACTGTCATATTCCTGACTTGGTACAGGCATTTTCTTGGTGATGAAAATGGTGGATTAAACCTGGTTTTATAGCTAGCTAAACCTCTCACTTGTATGACAGACACATACAATTCCATTATATTGACAACGATGCGTGAACAAAACAAACAGACATAATAGGTAAAAATGTCAAAGATATTAACAAAAATAACATTGGTTTTATTTTATATTGATTAGGCGTAGTAATAGTTCAAAATGACACTTTTTTGTTATTTTATAGATACTTTGTTTAATTTACTTCTGTCTGAATAAATTATATTCATTGATATAAATTTTTGATACCGACTAGTGTACCCATGAAACATTTGTCGATATTGCCTGTTATTAGAGATGCTTAAGACAATTTTGAAGTCAAACAGATTGATTTTTTTCAAAGATCATACAATAATAAAGACAACAGTAGTATACCGCTGTTCAAAAGTCATAAATCGAGTGAGAGAAAACAAATCCGGGTTACAAACTAAGACCGAGGGAAACACATCAACTATAAGAGGAAAACAACAACGAAATAACTCAACACAAAAGTTTTATTTATATGATGATCACAATACATATTTGCTATAATCATGTTACTTTGATTATTCATCCCTTATTTTTGATTTTGTATTTACATTGTATCATAGATTAAATTTATTTGTTCAGTGAATGTTTACTTGTGTTAATATGTCTTTTGATTGAGTTAAGCTATTTCAATTGATATTTCATAGTGCGTCTTTCTATGTAATGATGTTACACTATTGTTTCAGATAAAGGTGAAGGTTTGGTACCATTAAAACGTTTAAACCCGCTGCAATTTACACGTGTCGTAATTCAGGAATGTGATGTTCTGTGGTTGTCGTTTTTGATGTGGTTCATGAGTGTGTCTCGTTTCTCGTTTTTATATAGATTATACCGTTGGTTTTACCGATTGAATGGTTTTACACTAGTAACTTTGTGGGGCCTTTTATAGCTTGCTGTTCGGTGTGAGCCAATGCTCCGTGTTGAAGACCGTACTTTGACCTATAATGGTTTACTTTTATAAATTTTGACTTGGATGGAGAGTTATCTTATTGGCACTCATACCACATCGTCTTATATCTATTGGATATATAATACAGTGGAATTTGCTTCTCATGGGATCAGTAGGTGGTATCCACGGAGCCTGTAATACACTTTATCGGTCGTCCCACTGTCTATATCACTCTGACCAGCTATTAATAAAATTGCATATCACGGCTTGTGACGTCAAATACGTTGACCCGGCCTTAATGACTTTGACTCGGACATTCAAACGACGTCATAATGTATGAACCCGAACTTATCAAGACTTCTTCCGGTTTGCTGGTGAAACAAAAAAAAACACTTGTTTCTAAACTACAAAATACGCGAATACAACCCGACAAATCGATTATCTGGTTGCCTGTATATTGATATTGTAAAATATCCGCTGCTCGACACAATATGAACTATTCGCTGCGCTCACTCGACAAAAAGATCCATATTGTGACTCGCAGCTGATATTTATCGATATCAGTATGCAGACAACCTGATAATCGGAACGAATGCCCTAATACTAAAATCAGTCTAAGGTGTTAGACCATGACCATTCAAAGCTCGGATAAAGTCAGTCACATAAAAAAATCAACTAATAATAACAGCGACTAACTTAATTTGTATCCTATTTTGTACGTGCATATTTGATTGCTTTATTTAGCATGCATGTATAGGTAAAAACATATATATATACGCTGTATCAGTTTAAATTCTATTTTCTCAGCGTATATGTGATTAAATGGTGTAGTGTGTAAAATGATAAAAAGTTGGTTTTCCGAAAAAACATATATGTTTGGTTAAAAAATTCCATAATACGTATACGGAAAGTTGCCTTTCGAATAACAGAAATAAATATAAGGTCAATTCAAAATATATCTGGAGTTGAGATGTGTATAGCATAACTTAAACTGACAAATATTGATAGTAAGTAAATTTTTTCACTTGATAGTGTTGAACAACTATTTTATCGTATTTACCTTTTGAAGATTCGAGACCGCAACAAAGCTTTTGCCAACACTCTTTAGGAGTTCATCCTTATTTCCTACAGGTTCAGCGTCATTTATCTGACAAGTGTTAGTCCGTGTTATAAAGTTGATCGATTTACAGACTTGAATTCTCGAGCAAAGTTGGACACATAATGACCACATTGGAATAGATACTTCAAACAAAACGTGGCCACTGTATATTTTGTCTGTATGTTTTTTGATAACAATGATTTCACTTAATGTCCACCCGAAAAGAAAAACTATCAAAAAGGACAAACGAAACATTGTGTTTCAATGCACACACATTGAAAGTTATGATATTAGTTCCTTTGCCGAAAAGCTTTATCTATGTTCAAGGTTTGCTTTTGTTCAAGCTTTGCGTGTGTTCAAGATTTCTGTGTGTTCACACTCTGCATGTATTCAAGCTTTGCGTTTGTCAAAGAGGACCGTTTCATTACTGTACTTAGCACTACAAGATCTGCTGGTTTATATAGTTATAAGATTTATTAATTTTTTTAGGCGTCATTTTACAATTGCCATCAATCTTATAAGAAAAAAATCCTATCAAAAGATAAAATACTTATAAAAGAAAAAATGCTGATGAAAATTTAATAATAAATGAAGTAAAATTTCAGTATTGTATGAAGTCGTTGATGTGATTTGACTATTTTGTGAATCTTTTCTTTTATAATATGCCGTGGTTATCTTAGGTAGAATAAATTATGCGATTAATATATAAAAGGAACAGACTGTTCTTTTTACGATCATCCTTTTAGCAATTGCTTTGATCAGTCTTGAGTAGATTATATTCATTGTCTTTACAAATGCATATTTATTCCCTGAAGTGTTGATCGCATGCAATTATTAACAAATCAATAATACAGGCAAACGGGCTGTGGTTTATCTATATGAATGAGTATGATTTCAAAAAGAAATGATATGTAGTGGTTGTACATGAAACGAATTTATAATAGTATGCAATTAAAAAATAATGTATAAAATATGTAAAAGGAACAAAATGGTTATTTTTTATCTTTATTTTAACAGCCTCTTCGTCGACTTTTGCGAAGCAATAAACCTTAGACACAATTATTTATCTTTTATCAAGATGTATATTCATATTGTGCATATAGCATGTATATAAATGTGTTTGTTGTTGAAAATAAAACCATGAAATTCACACACAAAATAAAAATTGATTAAAATAAAAACTTCTGTTTTGAAACAAACAAACTAACAGCCCGTTCTAGCATTCCTTTTATCAAAACAGAGGTCTTTTGTGAGAAAAAATTAGATGGAAGAATCAATCTTTAAGCATAACAAGAGTTTTACATTAAAAAAAATAAAAATGGAATGTTGGAGAAATTCCGCAATTCAAAAAAAAAAAAAAAAATAATTGCTTCATTTATGACACTATTGCAGGAAAAACCCACCGAATCTTTGGTTTCTTACATCAAAATCTCAACATCAGCTCAAAATCGACCAAAGAGCATACCTATAAAATGTTAGTAAGACCGAAAATAGAATACGCCATGACAGTATGGGACCCGTACTTGAAAAACACATAGATAAAATTGAAAAAGTACAAAGACGAGCTAGACCGAATGTAACCAGTAGACATAGAAATAGATCAAGTGTCAGTAACATTATACCTGAATTAGGATGGAAAAACCTACAATATAGACGAAAAGAAGCTCAACTCATCATGTGTTACAAAATAACAAATGACCTTGTTTCATCTCGGCCTCTAGTAAGTGTTCTACAACTAATCTTCCAGTGCTTTTAACAAGTTCCTTAACTACTATCAAAGAGCTTAGCATAAACTATTGTAATAAAATATATGAAAATAGTGGAATTAACTATTTTTGGAGTGTAAAAAATTCTATGGATGTTTTAGATAAAGAACGTGCTTTTGATGGTCTTTTTGATTCTGTTGACAGTTTTGACTTTTCTACCCTTTACACTACATTTCCACACGATCTTATCAAACAAAAATTTGACTATTTAATTAAATGGTCGTTTGGTAATTGTGAATGCAAATATATTTGATGCTAAATTGCATTCAATTGATAAATTCAACAACACATACCGTTATCTTGATGATATTTCTTCCTTAAATAATCAAGAATTTTCTCACTATACTGCCGAAATTTACCCAAAGGAACTTACGTTAAATAAATCAAATTTAAACGGTAACAACTGTCCTTTCCTAGATTTAGATATTTCGTTTTTACACTGGAAATTCCACACTAAAATTTACGATAAAAGGGACGATTTTTCGTTCCCTATTTTTAACTTTCCCTTTTTGGATGATGATGTTCCTTTGGTACCATCTAACGGTGTTTATATTTCACAACTCGTTCGCTATGCCAGTGTCTGTTGTGCCGTTTTTGATTTAAACGAACGTAATTTATGTATTACTGGTAAATTATTAAGCCAGGGATTTCGTTACCACAAATTACTTAAAACCTTCACTTAATTCTTCCACAGATATAAAGGTTTGGTTTTGAAGTTTGGTTGTAACTGTAGGAAACTTATTTCAAACGGGATTGCACATCCTCATTTTTACGGCAATATTGTTTACCGTGCCCGGAAATTTAGAAACGATCCTGGTAAACTTATCGATCCTTTAAATAAACTTATTCTAAAAGGTTACCAATTCAACATTGTAATTAGATCATTAAATATTGTTTTTATTGGTACTAATATTGATTTTGTTATCAGTAAATTAAAAGCAAACTAAATATAATTGTTATATACATATACACATTCGTGTATCTACAATCTGTCGATACCTGTATCTTGGCATTGCACAAGGTCATGTTTTTCTCTGACTGTTTATGACGTCTTTACACTAAATCCATTGGATGTTGGATGTGTACGGATTGATAATTTAGTCCTAGATCCATGATATTTTTTATTAGTTGTTAGTGGAAAGTAAAATCACAAAAATACTGAACTCCGAGGAAAATTCAAAACGGAAAGTCCCTAATCAAATGGCAAAATCAAATGATAAAACACATCAAACGAATGGACCACAACTGTCATATTCCTGACTTGGTACAATTATTTTGAAATGTAGAAAATGGTGGATTGAACCTGGTTTTATAGCGCTAAACCTCTCACTTGGCTTTGAACTAGCTGTCAGTAACTGCGAGTACTCTCAGATCTGTACTTAGTGTCTTTTTGTTGTTTGGATATACAAGTACCCAGCCACGTCCACTTGTATATGTATATTTGTATTTTTATCCATCTGATGAGTTAAGCCTCTTTCAACTGATTTTTATAGTTTGTTCTTATGTTGTACTGTTACACCACTGTCCCAGGTTAGGGGAGGGTTGGGATCCCGCTAACATGTTTAACCCCGCCACATTCTGTATGTATGTGCCTGTCCAAAGTCAGGAGCCTGTAAATAAAGGCAACAGTAGTATACCGCTGTTCGAAACTCATAAATCGATAGAGATAAAAACAAATCCGGGTAACAAACTAAAACTGAGGGAAACGCATCAAATATAAGAGGAGAACAACGACACAACAAAAACAAAACATTAAAATGTAACACACACAGAAACGAACTATAATATAACAATAGCCACTCCTGGCTTGGTATTGGACATTTTAAGAAAAAAATGGTGGGTTGAACCTGGTTTTGTGGCATGCCAAACCTCCCGCTTTTATGGCAATGTTAAATATAACATTAAAATGACAACATTACATGACAGGATTACAATACAAATAAATGGGAGAACATATAGAACAAAGAAACACACGAATAAACAAAAGGCACCAGGTTTAAAATCCAATACGCCAGACATACGTCTCGTCCACACAAGACTAACCAGTGACGCTCAGATTAAAAAAAAATTGGAAAGCCAAAACATGTACAAAGCTGAAGAGCACCGAGGACCAAAACTTCCAAAAAGTTGCGCACAACACGGCAGGTGTTTTCTGCCTTGGACAAGAACATCCTTATTATTTAGAATAATTTATAATTTTGCAAACAGTAATTTTCATAAAATGACTATATAATAGATATACATGATAAAACCGAAGTGGGGACTAACTACAGAATAAAAACGGATACATTACATAAAACAACTTATTTCAGTGGTTGTCGTTTGTTTATGTGTTACATATTTGTTTTTCGTTCATTTTTTGTACATAAATTAGGCCGTTAGTATTCTCGTTTGAATTGCATTACATTGTCATTTAGGGGCCTTTTATAGCTGACTGTGCGGTATGAGCTTTGCTCATTGTTGAAGGCCGTACGGTGACCTATAGTTGTTAAATTCTGTGTCATTTGGTCTCTTGTGGAGAGTTGTCTCATAGGCAATCATACCACATCTTCTTTTTTATATAGTAGCCATAGAACAAGAGTAAATACCTACAAAAAAACAACAAGAAGCTCTAGTCGGACAGGAAATCATACTTACATATTACAGCCAGCCACCAAAATACTATAGGAAATGATCCTTCTACGTAAACACCGTCAATGATTGGAACAAACTGCCTCCAGATGTCGTCACAGCAAAGTCACTTGAGATATCCAAGTCAAACCTTCTAAATAAATCAACTCAACAATTTGTTTATAACCAGGTTTAAATCATTCACAACTTGCCAGAATATTCATCATGTTGAATGTGGGCAGTATTTGAAGAAAAATAAAATTGAGAATGGAAATGGGGAATGTGTCAAAGAGACAACAACCCGACCATAGAACAGACAACAGCAGAAAGACTTTTTTCCTCATTATTGATCGTTTTGACAACTGTTTCATGACTTCGACATTTACATAAAGAGGTAACTGAATCCTGATTTTTACGTTATCAACAAATACCAGCTATTCAAAATGATTATTGAAAAGGAAAGTTCTTAATTTTAAATAAGTGAATGACTTATTTTGTGAATACAATGACTGCAAGTGGTAATTTGCAATTCTTTCAACTGAACTTGAAAATAATTGAAACCTAGAACTGCGCGAACGTTTGAGCGATCATTTAACGATATATTACGTCAGAAAGATGCTTCGTAAGTAATCATGTGATTTTTAATATTTTGGTTTTACTTTAACCATTTGAACCATTCAGTCTGTCGGATCGAGGATTAATTCGGCTATATTTCTGTTCTGAGATTAGCACATTTATCTTAATTAGAAAATGAAATTTAAGAACTGGTAACAGACGACTTTAGTGTACGTTATGATGGAAATACGTAGTCAGCTGATATGTGTCTTCTTCCGACCAGATATGTTATTAAGAAAACAACCAGATACCTTATTTGAAGGATAGTCTTGCTTCGTTTTGATTATAAGTGGTTCTTATTTTTACCTGCAGATTGAAGAAAAACAATTGCGCGCCTTTATGATGTCATTTACCAGATAGAGGGGATCGCTTTAGACTGGTACCCGGTCGTTGTTTGACGGACTTTTCCGAGTTCAAAAAGGGATCGTTACGTCCGGGTGTATAGTTCAGAAACCAACATTGAAATAAGAGTTTTCTT